GGAAGATATGTAACTCCTAGTTCTGTAAGGGTTGCCATGCCATCTGCCCCGGCTGCAGGAACGGCCAGTGGCTTGGATTGTACCCGGGGAAGCCAGTGACTGGCCGGTCTTGGAATGCTTCCCTGAGAAGTGAGCTTGCTGCTTTGCTGCTTGTGCTTCAGAATCTGTGGAAGCACCATGCAGAAGCAGGGCATGAGCATGCCGTTGAGCACCTCAACAGAATTCAAGATGCACTAGCAGAGCACCTGCATTAAATCTCCGCATATATAGTCGGAGATTTCATCGTCGTTGGCCAAACATATATATATATATAAAGACTATAGTTATTCATTTCCAGCTAGAAGTATTCGCGAGTACCTATTTAAAGCCGCTCCCTAATTAAAAGAGACTCATCTCGGAGACCCCTAAATACGGTTTATATTTGCTTTTAACTTTAAAGCCGCTACTAAATTCCCAACATTGCCGATTCCCACCGTGTTTGTCCACCATGACACGCCACCATTCGACATCGCTATTTTAAAAGGATTTTTTCAAAGGGAAAAGGAAGACCCTTCGATCTGGAGGATTTTTCAATTTTTCATACCAGTTTAATAAAGGGTTTTATACAAAAAACCTAGGCAACTTTTCGGTTTTGAAGCTCTTCCCACCCAGGTTTCTATCTTTGCCAATCGATGATTATTCAAAAGGATCCTCCCACTGACCCGTTTTTTAATCGGTGAAAGGGATTACGCCCCTCCGAGCAGAAACAAGTGTATATATATAGGAAGTGATTTGGCTTTGTGGTTGACAGCATCCAGATGCTACTGCTGCGCGGCGAGCATGGAAGGTGTGGCAAGCATTGGCGGGACAATAGTTTGTTAGCAATTTTTGCCGTTTTCATCCGTTTTCTTCCATTTGATCCGACGGTCGGGGAGCCTGTGTTCAACCCAGTTGCTGATGGTTGATGTCTATGGGTCAATCAAACTGTTGTGCAAAGGCTGTTTCCATCTTGCAGGTCATTCTACTTGCTTCTTCATAAGACAGCAGTAGACAAAACTCACTCCGGGTAAGGTTTTTCCAGTATCTTCCATTTGGATTGAGACCTTCTGGAGATCCTGGCTTCCAAACGTGGTGCTTATTGAAATCATGTATATATAGCCTAAAAGGAAGTTCCCCAGTCCCAACAGCCGATGCCACAGCCTTGCGCACCAAACTGCTCGGTGGAATGGATCAGAAAGCCTACGCCCATTGCCAACCACATTGTTGGGTGTCCTTCCTCCAAAGTTTCAACCTGGTCCATTTCTCATCTTGTTTCCCGTCGGGGTGGTACATTTTTGTATACATAACATGAATATATATATATATACATCAATGCGCTAGATGTTGCACGCTCAGGTATTTCTGTGGGGGTTTCTCAAATTCGTTATATTTCTTCCATTTGATCCAATTGCATTGTGTTTGTTCAGATGCTTTGGTTGACAGACCCCCAAATACATCATCCACCATCCACGGGCCTGAATCTGTTTGTTGTGGTTCGTGTTCCTGACGGGAAGCGGTTCCAAATGCAAGTAGACGCAGCAAGCTGCGCAATTGGTTTTGCTGCGCTTTGTTTCATCGGGGGTGGCCACGTTGCCACAGGCACTTCTTACTGGGATGTATGCCAGGCTGCCGGTAAGCTCGTTGTTTCAGGATTAGCTGTTTGTTTGAACGGAACCAGTTTCATGGTGATCGAATCAAAGGCCAGGCATACCATGTGTTTCGGAGAGTATTCTCCTCTTCAGACCAGGCAACGTGTACGCGTGGAAAAAACAGTTTCTCGTAGCCTTTAGTACAAATGGAAGAAATTCAACACCTACTTTATGCTACAGGGTATTTCTTCCATTTGCTGTTGCCTGCACTTTCCTCGAAAAATGGATCTTCCATTCAATAAATTGTCTTAATATCTTCCAAAATAGTGCACACTAGTATAATGGTCAGCACTTGGTCCTCTTGGAAGGTCCTCCTTCTGGGTTTCTTTTTTGGAGAGGCTGGCCCTTGAAAGAATAGATCAATGTCTGGATCTTGTGGGTCGCCTGCTTCATCACACTTGGAATTCCTCATGGAAACCAAGTTGGATAGGGCTGGGCAAGATGCAAGGGATGCATTTTTGGTCACCTTGGTCCCACAAATCAGTTGAATGATGGGAAGGGCAGTGGATCTGATTCTCAGAAACTTGGTGTCATCTGGACCATCCACCACCAGTTCTGGTGGAATCACAATGGCCTTCTCGTCTTGGTAGGATATCTGCATGGCATAGATAATTTCCACCATGGCTATATGGGTGCTGGCTGCTTGATGTCTTCTCCAGCTACTGGTCTTTGGTTTTGGAGCAATATGGCTAGATGTTTCTTTGATATCATGATAGCCATGGTTGGCTCTGCCTGTGCAAATTTGCTTGTGTATATGGTTGATACTATTGTTTTTACTTATTTGGATGCATATACTAAAACAATGGTGGCATGAATGACAGCCATGCTATGGCTCTTTCAAAGGACCAGTTGATATATGCAATAACAGTCTGTTTGCATGACAGCCATGGAATGGCTCTATATATATACATAGGTGTTTATCTAAAAAACTTTGGAGCTGTATGCTGCATGTATTTTGAGGGATGGGTGTTGGGTATAATATGGTAAAATGTTTGTTGAGAAGGCTGTGGATATAATATTTTCTCCATATGACTGTGGAAATCCTTTGTGTGTGCTTTCAAAAGCTTGCTTGGTCTGTTTAAAAGATCTTTTGAAATCTCAATGACAGCAGGTCAGCTCATGAGTTTGGGAATTTTCCCACAGGTAAAAATCACCAAATGAATCCTATAGATTTCCCTTAATTTTTGTCTTCGTGTGTGGGCCAAACTTATCTTCAATGTGGCATCATGCTCCTAGAAAATGTTTTTGGACAACATGTTTTTTGAAGATTCAATGGTTTCAGCCATCAGTGCCTTTGCTTTCTGCCTTTGTTTTTGGTTAAACATCATGATGTTAAAAACAGCTAATTCCATCAACAAAAATTATAACTAGTTAACATAGTTAACATGAATTAGCAAAAAAAGCTTAAAAAGTTACTATCATATGTTAAACTAGTATACAAGTTATGCATATTTATGCATTGTTATAACTAGTTCATACATGGTTATAATTAGTTAGTACATAGTTATAAAGAGTTGTAAAAAAATTAGAACTCCACCTAACATACTTAACTAGTTATAACAAAACCAGGGTTTTAAGCAGGACATGAAGGCTACGTGCGAGCCGCATCTCAGACGGCACACTTTCGTGACTGCGTTCGCGCAGCGGGGCTCCAAATGGGAGGAGGGATTTTCCTGACCAACTCCCGTGTAGGACCGGAGGGCAAGACCCCGATCATTTCTAGATTGGGAATCTGCGCGTACGTCGACGACGATTCCTCAATAATTAATGAAGTTCGACGCACAGGCTGCTATGGATACTTGTGCGACGCTTCACAACTCAGACAACCGCATTCAGTTTTGTTAGACCTAGCTAACATGATCCGCTCTTCCGGCATCCACAACTGGAAGATTGCGCATCATCCTCGACCTTTGGCGTCAGGCGAGTTCTCCGAAGACCCCAACCCACGTGGAGGAGGACGCCGGAGGCCCAAAGCTCGCTAGGGGCCTTGCAAACCTGTAACCGCTGCTTTGCGCGGTCGCATTTCGTTCGTAGGGCCATTAGCTAGGTTGAGCGCAGTGAAACGCTAATCTCAACATCCTCATGTCAATCTAGTTGAACTTTAGGTCATGCATTCAATTCTCCTTTCAGTGCACTCTGTCAGACACCACGCAACAGCTGCCACAGTGCGCTGGAGTGGTCACGACTCCTTGTGTAGCGTGAAAATAACTGCACCTAGGCTCATCTAGCTTGAACCGGGTGTCTTCCAAATAGCAAGTGGGTGTTTGATTTGGAATAGATCCTTGTTGTCAAGTTTCTTGCTGGCTCCGTTAAAAGCATGTAACACAGCCATGTAGTTTGCTTGGTCCTGCTTGGGAGCAAAGAGCTCCAAGGATGAGGCAACATCCACATGCGCCTGATACACTCAAGACTGACCTATATATACAGTCATGGAACTTCAAGAATTTAGATTTCTTCGTAGTGGGCAGCCATGCCAGCGTGGAGATACGATGATGATGGAGACGTTACGTGTGAAGAGTCTGCAGAGACCATCTCCTTCCTCACAACCACGAACATAATCCACCGCTTCTGGCGCCACAGCCAAGCACCACTATTTCAAAAGTTTTGCGCCACATTTTGATAGAGCTTTCGCTTCAAGATTTTTAAAGCACTTGGATGGAGAACGTGGACCTGTTGGAGCTGCAAAAAGAAAAGGCTTGCAACTCGTACTTCACACTATTTGCCAGATCTTTCTCGACCCTCTGCGGAGTCATGTGTTGATGTAGGTCTGTGCGGCCTCGAGGATTGCCTGAGCCAGCTGGAAGCACCAACCACTGCGCTTATACGCTGATTGCTCAATATGCCCAGCTTGGACGTGAAACTTTCTCGGTTTGACATTTACCTTGTATTGGTGCTCAGGAGCGGAGGCTCAACGATCTTGGATTGGAAGATTATAAATGGAGCAGTCGGATGGAAAACCCGTCACGTTTCAGACCGGGGCCCCAGCCCCAAAATGTGATGGGTTTTTTGAAAAACCCGTCGCAATTAAATAAGGAAAACGAAAACCCGCCAAACTTTCCAGCTCATCCCCAACTTCAAAAAGTGATGGGGTTTTTCCAAAACCTATGGAATTGCGATGGGTTTTTTAAAAACCCATCGCTTTTCTGGGGCCAGCCGAGCTTCCAGATTGTGATGGGGTTTCTGAGCAAAACCACTCAGCCAAATGGATTTGGCCACCAGAACTGTGATGGGTTTTTTAAAAAACCCGTCGCAATTTGACCAGCCAAATCCATTTGGCCGGGAAACCCGTCACAAGT